AAGAAAAATAATTCTTTTCTTTTTTTTTTAAAAAAGTATTGGTACTATGTTTATCGTCAAAGTAGTGACCCCTATTGATGCTCTTCGGAACTTGGCAGCAAGACAGTATCGATGAATAATTCTTTTAGTAGTGACCTCTCTTGGCTATTACCGGAACTTTGTACGTAGGTTGCTTTAGTCTCGCTGGACAGATACCGGTACTCGTCAATAGATGGCGTTAGTATACGATAACTTCGGAGATTTTATTATATTTTTATTTTTTTCTGTTAGGTTATGTTTTGTAGAATTTTCACTAAGTCACTATACAGAGTTTTTCTGGTCAATGATTAATTATTTCACAGCCACTAGTAGTTTTACGATTCGCAAAGTTGACTAAACTTCATTATTTTCACTGTTTAGCCAAAAAAAGTCACTGGTTACGTAAGTTCGTTTTTTGCACTATTTAGTAGTCTATTGTTTTTATTTTACTTTGATCTTAAACAATGCACACTAAAGTTCTTTTTTGATAGTAGTTTCACTGTAATTTCGCGTTTTTTTTATATTTAATTTCGCAAGAAAAACACAGAGCCTAAGTTGACAGTTGCTCAGTAGCGCCTCTCCCCCTCATTTTCAGTAAATAACTGCTCTTAATCCAGGTAGCAAGAAGCAGCTCTAATATAATTTCGAAGAACATTGCTTTTAAGGTTTGAATTCAGCCCTTTTTAACGTCCCACTGCTGGGCATGGGCCTCCCTTCAATACGAGGGGGATCAGGCCATAGTCCACCACGCTGGCCAAGTGCGTGTTGGCGGACTTCACATGTCTTTCGAAAACTTGCTAGGTTCTCTCACACATGCAGGTTTCCTCACGATATTTTTCTTTCACCGTAAGGCAAGTGGTAATCATGTTAGAAATGATTCGCACATGAAAATATCAGAAGTGCGAGACCCGGGATTTGAACCCGCTTCACTCGGTTTCCCAAGCGAGCGCGTTACCACTGGGCTACCACTGCCTTTTTTAGGGTTAGTTTAAGGTTTATTCATATTTTATTTACATTTTATCGCTTACGCCAAACTAGTGACTTACCCTGCCTACACTCGGTGTGTTCCTATGTGCCTAACAGCATATGATTTACTCTATCCAGTTTTATCCAACAGTCTCAGCGTGAAGGATTAACCAAACATACGCACACACAAACAAATTTTCACATTATATATATATATTTTAATTTTTTTAAACTTACATTATTTCCCAAAGCGAGTTAGATTTATAACTATTTCTCTCATTTGCTATATATGTAGGTAGTAGGTACATATGCGTATAAGTGCTTTCTGGATAAGTTTACGAATTGGTTCACAAGATCGGTAATACAGATTAGCCTCTGCCCTTCAGGCTCGTTTACAATAGAGAAGCCTCAATAAAACAGTTTGAATATTACCATCAGGTAAATACACGTCTTCAATTTAGGTACCTTTGCCAAAAGGGATTGCTAATACAATGTAGAAATTAAGCGTAACTTCTATTAAATCATGTACGAACAATACTAGGGGATCGTATTCAAAGCGATTGAAATGATACGTTTGGCCCTTCTGAGTTCCGCCGACACTTATACGTTAGGTTAGATTAATTAACCGCGTAAATTGTAACAAATATTTTTAATGCTTTCTTAAATTTACGCGAATGTTTGATATTTTATTCTCTTTAGAATTTCTTGAACCTTATCATTATAAGGTGCAAGATCAAGAGCTCAATCAGTTCTCCGAGGCACGTGTGATCACGGTTTACACACCGTTGACTTCCCCACTTCGGGCTTGCACTAAGTATTTCATTAAATAAAATCCAATAAGTATTTTAACCCGACCTAGGGTTCGAACTCACGATCTACAGCCTTACACGCTAGCCTTTAAAATCTCTAAAAGTTACTAATGAAAAATTCTTGTCTTTACCATATAAAAAAGAACGAGTTTCAACAGTCTTGGGTTAAGTCATTGACACTGATAAACATGCTAATCATTAGAAAAATTACACTGTTATTGCACATGTTAGGCGTTTTATTTAAAGCATTTTCTTTTTTAGTGCGATAAAAGTACCTAGCAACACCGTAGTTTTATCCGGGTAAATAAATATATGTATATTGTATATACACAAACTTTAAAATATCTTTAAAAAAATATTCCGCCCCACTTAGGCTAGATGTTTTCATAAAATTCTCATTTGTTAGTGTCTCCATATCTATATAATGTCCATAAAGTAATCTCCATAATGTCAATGTTTGTGTTACGGCCCATCTCCAGTTCCGAGATATAAGATATTTTAAATATTCCCCGAAGTATTTATAAAGATACGGATCGGACTACCATTTTAAATGCGAAAGTTTATACACGTGTTTGTGTTATGTCCTGGTATAAATATAATACAGTACATAGGATGTATGTATTCAGCCCTTTTTAACGTCCCACTGCTGGGCACGGGCCTCCCTTCAGTAGGAGGGGGATCAGGCCATAGTCCACCACGCTGGCCAAGTGCGGGCCGGCAAACTTCACATGTCTTTCGAAAACTTGCTAGGTTCTCTCAGACATGCAGGTTTTCTCACAATGTTTTCCTTCGCCGTAAGGCAAGTGCTAATTATGTTAGAAATGATTCGCAAGTGAAAATATCAGAGTTGTGAGACCCGGGATTCGAACCCGCTTCACTAGGTTTCCCAAGCGAGCGCGTTACCACGGGGCTACCACTGCCTATCATACATATACACAGGATAAGAAGGTTCTATTAGACACCTTAAAACTAACTCGAGCGAAGCAAAGGTACTCGTAAGTCGTTGATAGGATATAAAAAAATTTCACAAAACTATTAATATTACCTATTCTCGTACTTGTAATAAAATGTGAATTAGATTAAAGAGAAACAAACGCTTATCACTTTATATTATCACAAGAAATATCTGTCATTAAATAATGACCAATTAATGAACAGTTAAAGCAATCAAGTATTTTCTAACTAGATATGCTTAATATATCACTATAAAATAAAAACTAATATCTATCCATCCAACATGTCACTCACGTGCCAATGATTGACGTGCAGTCGATAACCAGTGAACAGGTGACTCATATACACATTAACCAATTACGTATCGATATTGCTATTAGATTAATTTTATAATAAACAATTTCAGATAAAAAAACGACGAAGTATTTAAATTTAGAATTTAATTGTAAATTCAAACAAATAGGATATCTTCTCCATTTGTAAATCGATTTTCCTATTTATTTTGTTAATATACAGGTATTTACATTATAAATGCAAAAGGTTATATGTATATGTATGTTTGTTATTCATTGAAGCTGAAACTTTTTTTTTCAACTTATCATCGTTCACTGCTGAACGAAAGCCACAATAGAATTTCAATTATCCCGATCTTATTACCAGCCGATACATATTCATATCTTATTCTATATTTTCTATTTCCGATAAAATAGTTTTATTTAAAAAATTTAATGGTATTAATCATTAATTTAAGCGTTATCTGAAATCTCACTCTTTAAAGTAAAATGTTAACAGATTGATTCATTTATTCAGAAATACTTGCCATTTGGATATGGCAGACACTCAACAGGCAAGTTCAGGCAAAAATTTAAAAACTGCTGTTCTAACCTTTCTCATATTCTCAATACTTATTTCTCTTGTATTCCTTAGAAACTATTTGCCAAGGCTATTACTGTTTTATACATACTCATATAGTATACATATATATGTATATCTATTAAATTCTTATAATACGATACAGTAATGCGTAGTACTCGCGGTATGTTGAAGAAATGATTTTCTCTCGAGTAACTATTGATATTGTACTAACATGTATATTAGATAATAATAACTTACATATATACATATTTATCATAAAAATATATTAAGTTAAGGAAAAACCGCTAACTATACTTAGGAAAACCTCCTAGCTAGCTTTTAGCACCACATGATTTACTAAGTCGATGGAACGACCAAAATTGATAAAGTACAATTAATCTTTTTCTTCTATAAAATCGAATTAAATTAATAAATAGGCAGCCCCTTAGTTCATTTTCTATAATCTATTAATATATCTAAAAATTAAATTATGAAATCTTCAAATTATATATTCAGGCCACGTGATTTGAATAGAATTTAAATGTCATCCATATCCATACTAATATTATAAATGTGAAAGTGTGTTTGTTTGTTTGTATGTTTGTTTGTCTTTTTTCACGTCGAAATGGAGTGACGGATTGGCGTGATTTTTTGTGTGAGATAGTTGGAGGGTTGGAGAGTGAAATAGGCTACTTTTGACCGCGGGAGATTATCTAATTCCCACGGGAAAACAAGCTATAATACCATCCAAAAAAATATTTGTGATCAGAATTACTTGAAAGTTAGGAATTAATATTCTTCAATACAATTAAATAAATATGTGTTTTAGCATTTTTCAAAATTCATCCAAGAAGGGGGTACAATATGGCATGAAAAATGAAATGAAATGTTTGTGTGAAACCTACCTTTAGAGATTTTTTTGAAGTTTTAGCGCGAGCGAAGCCGCGGCTTCTGCTAGTTTTATTTTATATGTATTTGTATATAGATATCATATTTACCAAGCATTATGGTGTCACACCTGTTTCGTGAGAATAGATAGAGTAATATATTTTTTAAGTGTTTATTTATTTATCAAATGTCATAAACAATTAGGTACATATGTGTGCGTATATAACTTGTGTGTGGCAATAAATCATTTGGTACCTAACCTCTATAAGAAGCAATTCAATTAAATATAGTGAACACATTTTGTTTACTTATTATACTTTATATTAGTTTTTTTACTTATTTACTTTATATTTAGGTATTAGCTTATAATAATATTGTGCCTATTAAAATAAATATTTTGACCCAAAATAAAAAGCAAAGTTTATGTAGTTTGTACATATGTATTAAATTTGATATGTATTAAATTTATAGGTACTGTATATCTATGTATGTTTAGATTCTTGAAAATACCTTGTAATCCAATGCTCATAAAGATTGTTAGCACGATAAGAACGTTTAAAAAGAAGAAATTCATATTCACGCACTTAACAATTCTAGTATCCGTTATCAACCACCTTTACTTAATAATGACACTCAACTGACCGATACGGAAAGTGTTACATTAAGTCGCAGAAATGAGTTTATTTATCAGTTAACAAGCATTCAGTTAATATTGGTTAAGCAATAAAATGTGCTTTGTTGTTGAAGAAAATAATTTGAATCTAATTTTCATAGAACAAAGTTATTGGAATAAACATAATTTGAAAATAATATTCTCATTTCAAATTCTTAAAGTTCTTTCGTTTTTATTTTCAGTCATTTTTGAAAATTTTAAGATTGTTTAGCTAGAGCTCTTTTTGTTCCAGATTATTGCATCATTTTTTGGGTAAACACCATCTATAATAACTTTCGTTTCGTCAGAAATCTTGATCTCTCCCATGACCATATACAATGTTTCTACATATCTGTAAAAAGAACCATTTGAAACGTCGAGAAAGTACTCAAAACTAAACCACTTAACCCAAAAAATACATTTTATTTAATATTTAAATAAATATATCACTATAAATAGATCGCTATTTGTCACTTCGGAACATCCATGGGTTGGCTGGAAGAGATCTCTTCTAGAGATAAGTCGACCTTTCCCGACATTATGTCTGCATTTTTATATAACAATTTTAATGTACAATAAACAATACATATAAAATATATTATATAATTGTAAACAAAACAAAGTTAATATGCATTTGTGTAAGAAATCGTTATTGCTTTCAGATTATCATAGTTTTATATTGCTTGAGAAATTTCATCAAAGTTTGCTTTTTTAGTTATATATTGCAAAATTTATGAATAAAAAGTAGTTTCATACAAATTTTCATCCCCCCATCCATTTTACTCCCATATAGGATGAATTTCAAAAAATGCTAAAACACGTATTTATTTAATTTTATTAAAGAGAATTAATACCATGTTTCAAGTCTGATCATAAATATTTTTTTGGATTGTATTATAACGTATATTCCCATGGGAATTAGATAACCTCCCGTGGTAAAAGTAGCCTATGTCACTCTCCAGCCCTCCAACTATCTTCACACAAAAAATCATGCCAATCCGTCACTCCGTTTCGACGTGAAAGAAGGACAAACAAACACACTTTCACATTTATAATATTAGTAAGTATGGATATACCTCCAAACTTAAGACACATTCAAAATGATTTTTTAAAAGGTTAAATAATTGCAGGTGAGGTTGTACCATAATTAATCACACTCGTCATGCTTTCATCTCTTAACGTAATTAAAACAGCTTTTATTGTTAATTTCTGGCGCCATCTGGCAGGAAAGATTTATGATTGCAATTTTAATTATAAACGTAATAGAAGTGCTTCGTAGTTGGAATAATTGTCCCCAATGGAAGGAAACAGTCGCGCTTGTATAACAAATCAAATTCTCAATTTTTTATAACGCAGTTTTTACTACGAATAACGATTGATGTGGTTTCCATGGGTTTCTATTATATCTTTACTTATTGACCTACTTTAAAAACATTTATTTTAATTTATTCTTTTATTTCATTTTATCAGGCCGTTATTGAAGCTTTCAATTTCCGCGCAGGCAAGGATAAAGCTGCCACCAGTGTCAAAACAAATTATTACGTTCCTACTCACGTACGTATACACTTACGAATTCATTAAGCCTGGTTAAAACATGTGTAAACTAATGCATAAATTTATAATTATATCATTTAGGTACTACTAGTATTAGTTCACTGTTACATTACGTCCCTTGGTACCTAACTTGGTAAGTTCGTAAAGTTAATCAAAATCTGTCAAGCATCTATAACAGTACTCCGTCTATCTATACCAATATTATAAAGAGACAGAGTTTGTTTGTTTGTTTGTTTGTTTGTTTGAGCGCGTTAATCTCAGGAACTACTAATCCGATTTGAAAAAATATTTTTGCATTAGATAGCCCGTTTATTGAGGAAGGCTTATATCAAGGCTATACTACCGAAGGGAGCAGAGCTATAATCATAAATATCAAAAGATCGGGCAAACATCCATATATTATTGTAAAACTGATGTGTATATTGGAAGTTTGAACGCGGGCGAAGCCGCGGGTACTGCTAGTATACTAAAAACGGCAACAAAAGTAATTCAACCGATGAGATTACCCGCCACTTCGTTAGCGTGGAATTTAACGAAAAAAGGATACATATAACTATCTATTTAATCGCTATTATGAGTAATGTTACTATAAACAGCTTTTAGGCATTCCGTGATGTCATATTAATAACAATATTATATACATAAAATACTTAAGCCATTTATAGTTAAAACTTTTATAAGATGGTAAATAGCTTTAAAAAATCAGTCTCTAAATTCTACACAATATTGAGTTAAAAACTAGTTATACCTATAGGTGAGATAGCTAAGCAAATTCTATACATTTTATAAAATATTTCTAGGCTCATATATCCAGGTAAATTTAGAACATCAGCTCTTAAAGTATCCTGTGAAAAGTTAACAAAATTCCTTTTGCTATCACGCGGGGTTAATTCGATTACTAATGTTACTGTGTTCAAAATTCATGTAATGTTTTGTTAAAACCTATACATATTATACATATAAATATATTAACATCTATGCTCCATCACACCAAAAGCTTTATTTTATATACACAATTCAAGTTACTTTTCTGCCAAATTTCATCCTTATCAGCTTAGCTTTTGAGATATGTATAAACACACACGTATCTATACAGATAAATAAAATTTAAGTGTCTGTTTGTAATGTCAAAATTACTTTAATGTTAAAATTTTACTAAATGCATAATATGGAATAATATAAGGTATTTATAAGAAAACACAATTTTTTGTCTGTCTGTCTGTATGTTTGTTCCGGCTAATCTCCGAAACGGTTGGGCCGATTTTGACGAGACTTTCACTGACAGGTAGTTGATGTTGTAAGGAGTAACTTAGGCTACTTTTATTTCGCCAGTAAAAATATAAGTCAGATCATTCATTTATTAAAAAATACCATCACTATTTCCTGTATTCCTAATATGTAGTTGATGGCAAGAACAGTACGCTTTTATAATATGTACATTGTACATTGTATACAAACAGGAGTACAATGGTCAATGGTCATGATTCATAAGAGCGGTTAAGTCCCGGCTCTATCGTCTCATATAAAAGGTCGGCATGTTCTAAATTTAGTTTCAATTCGAAATTCACGGGATAAAATTATATATGTTGTTGCGATGTTTCACTTAGAGTGGATTGTGTTTATAGCCCTGTTCTGTGCTGTGAGCGCGGCGGTGACTGTTAATATTTATGATGAAGGTGCGTTATTTCTTTTTAAATTAGGCTAGATAAGAAAAATAAGCGAAAAGATAAAAAGCCCTGTAAAAGTTAATTATCGATCTTGATAAGTATGTCGATGCTTAGTGTTTATAATCAAAATCTTACTTGACGCATAATATAAGAAACTTAGCCTATATTCTGTATTAATACTTTCTTAATAGATAATCTAATATATTTTGAACGAATAATTCTTGTATATATTTTTTTTTATTTATTTATACTGGCGATCTCGGAAACGGCTCTGACGTTTTCGAGTTTTTATGCGATTTTCTTCGCATTATTCCACTCAAAGTATGGTCGCAAATTTCGCACGCTCGGGCATAAGCATCGTGGTTGAGCGGCCAAGGCGCAAGATAAACAATCGCAGGTGTTCAATTTCGAATCCCACTCGGATACAAAATGTTTACATTTGGTTTTTTTTTGTATTTATTGAAGTTTTTCGATTATTTTTATCTAAAAAATACGATAGGTATACTTAACAAAAAAGAACTCCGAGCAAAACTCAATCGCCCAGGTACTAATATATAATTGTAAATCATGATAAAAAACATATTTCATAAGCTAATGATATTTAATGAAAGTCATAAGCCTTAAGATATTGTTTATGGCAGATATGGAATCTAATAAAATTGAGAATGCGAGGAGTTGCAACTTTAGGCAGTGCGACCAATTGTGCCGCCTCTTAGAATTCCCCGGAGGACTGTGCGTGGATGATCACTGCAAATGCTATAAAGGAGGTCAGTACTTCAATTGTTATCAGTTGATTATTAGTAATTTATGATTTGTAAGTAATGTTTTAGTTAAAAAAAAGTCCAATTGAATTCACGGCTATATAATTTTGTAATTGCGAAAGTTCGTATGTGTGTATGTTAGTTACATCTTCATCCTGACTCCTGAGTCGGTTGAATGGATTTGAACGAAATTCAAGCGTTAAAATTGAACGAAGAAATACGTTGAAATACGTTCAAATTGAACGAAGTTCAATTTGAACGTATTCCTAGGGAAGTACCCGAGCGAAGAATAATTCGCTTCTTAATAATTTATTATGATGTCTACTATGTCTACATTATTATAATTGAGAAGACTATTTGATACAATATTTTTCAAGTTTTTATCATCACATTTATACTCCACACCAATTTTGTGACTGGTTTTTTTTTTATTTATTGTTACTTGCGACATAATGTTTAAACTATTGGTTATAATATAAAATAGTACACAGTTAGGTAGCCCAGTGTTAGGTTCCTGACACACTAACTTGGAAACTCAAGTGAAACGGGTTCAAGACCCATAATTAGATAAGATATTATCATGTGCGAATCGTTATTAATATGATTACCACGAAACTTACAATGAATAAAGGCTTACATTATGAGAAAACTTTCATATTTGAGAAAACCTAGCTAGTTTTCAAAAGACATATGAAATCTACCATCCTACAGTACACAGGCCAGCGAGGTGATCTATAGCATGATATGCCTTGCTAAGAGGCCAATGCTCAGGAGTGTGATTTTAAAAAGGTTGAATTAATTATTATTTTAAATTTGTAACAACAAAGTCATGTACAACGACCTTCTTTCATATAACAGAAGCAAAAGAGCCAACTGCTGAAAACATAGCTGACTGTAATGATAGTACATGTGACCAGTTATGTCGTCGCATGGGTTTCTTTGGCGGAAGCTGTGTGAATAGCCACTGCAAGTGTGATAAGTTTAAAGGTGATTGTTACTTATATTCTAACTAATATTTACTTCAAAGCTATAATATACAGAGTCTATGTAGAGTCATAATCTATGCATATAATAAAACTGTAGAGGTTGCATGTCTGTACATAGGAAAGAAATGCTAAAAACGAAGTCAGGGGAATGTAAGATGAGAAATAGAACAAATCCATGTTTCTTTCATTTTTTTTTTGTTTCTCTGCCTGTTTGTCTGCTTGTACGGGCTAATCTCCGAAATTGTTGGACCGATTTAAATGACATTTTGCATGATGGTACCTTTGGGATAGTTAAAAACTATAGTAACTTATACAGCGTAGTACACAACAGCTTATGCACCTAATTTAGTAAAATTTGGCATGCGGATACCTTATAATGCTGGTCAAACAACAAGTTACTTTTTATCCCGGAAAAATGAACAGTTCCCGTGGGATAGATCTGTTTGTGCTGCTCTAGAGGAGCCGGTAGTAATTCATAAAATAATATCAGATTCAAATTAAAACATACCTTGCCTAAAAGCGTAGTTAAACGACTGTATTACGTTTCAGTTCATTTCATTCGGATTGACCTTTTTGATGTTTTTAACATGCTTTTATTAGCTCACTTCCAACCATGTAATAAATATTGTCGATATTTGTTGTTTTTTAACCGACTCCTAATTGTTGTATTGATTAGAAACTTTGTAAATAACCTAAATCGGGTTATAATACAATCATTAAATACCATCGAGCTAATATTAGGATGCTGAATAATGGAGGTTTGTCAAAAACTTGCTATTTTTTACTTTTTAAGATTATAATAATAACATTTTTAAATAAAACTATCTTTTCGGATTTTTTCGCGGATATATTTGGATTTTTTGTTCCCGACGTTTCAAATGCTTTACAGCATTCATGGTCACGGGAGAGACTCTAAAAGATAGTTTTATTTCTAATGTCAAATATTCACGTAAATCTAAGAAAGTATTATATAAACAAAAATTTTTATAAAATAAAAAAGTATTTGAAAGAATGTATCATCATATCCTAGCCATATTTTTCTAATCATAGCCAAAACCGTATTTAACAAGTAATCCTTTAACTATGTCATTAAAAACATTAATTTAGTTAAGATTGATAAATTATTATGTCAAAATATACGTATTCTGGAATTAGAGACCGGCATTAGTGTGGTAGCTGTAATTACCACGAACGCGATCAACTGCCACCGGCTCGAATTCCAAGACGGCGCGCGTCAATAGCCGGTGTAAATGCGATAACTTTAAACATAAATCATTTGCTTAATAACTGTACATTTTAGAGAAATTTATGTTCCTTTCAAACTCACCAAGTTATATTTTATAACATTGCCAAAATAATTAACATTTATTTATGTATTTAATATGTTTTTATTTTATTTTATTGCCATTACGTAAAATTACTGAAAAAAATAATATAGACGATGTCATCGTATATTTGCGATTTCTTATAAAAATATTTTATATAATAGAAAGGAAATTCGAATTTATAAATTGAAGATATATCATTTCATTCATAGAAATATCTTAATCTAATTTAAATAATTCATAAATATTTAAATTAGTAAATTTAAATATTAAGAATTGTTCAATGATGTCTATAAAAATTGTCACTACAAATTGTAATATCTGGATGAAATGCAATGTTTTTCTGTTGCATTATTGAGCAATATGCAGCAAAATAACTTTGACAGAGGAACTAAATGAGCGCCGCTATGATATTACTATGGAAGACCTGACAAAGCAAGGGTCTTTTAAACCGTCTCAAAGCAGAAAATATTCTAATAAAACCTATGCCAGCTATCTCACAGCTAGATAAGCTTTAAATATAACGATGCCAATTATAATTTATATCGTATTTTCGTTGAATAAATATTTGTCATGATATTCGAATACTAAAAGGGAATAGAAAGCCTTAGCAGTTTTACAAAAGGAGCACACTTTAACAATGTATAGGAAAATTTTCAATTACTTAGATACTATTATTGAAGTTTATTTTATAATTTCTAGATAAATTCAATCTAATTTGACCTCCACCGAGAAGGTACTCCAGCGCAAAGAATACCAAGGTTGTTTGCAGAAATCACAACAATATTTGTTCAACAAACCGATATCGAAATTAAATTTCTGATGATATAAGAGTTACGATCTTAAGCAGTAATCTGAAAATTAAATTGAAGTAAACAAAAGCTCCAATTTATTTTAGACATTCTTCGGGAATATATCATTCTTATTATAATGTGCTATAAATAACAGCTGCGCCGCTCGCGATATTGATATTACACGACAAACATTATATTCATGCAAATATATTTTTGTCATTCATACTTCTTTGTGATAATATTTGTTTTATAATGAAATGAATATTATTAATTAAATGTAAATAAGGAAAATCTAATAACAACTGAAGGAAAAATTAATTAACTTCCAATATGTAAATTCATCTCGCGGCTTATTAGATACTGGCTATGCTCTGCAGTTTCACCGCCGTTAATTTTTTTTTATTATAAACATCAGTTTTACGATAATGTTGTGATGTATGGAAGTCTTCCCGATTTGTTGACGTTAATGAATACTACTGCGGTCCGTTGGATATATTGACGACTAATCCGACTTGAAAAAAGATTTTTTCAAGTCGGATTAGTCGTTCCCGAGATTAGCGCGTTCTAACAAACAAACAAACAAACAAACAAACAAACAAACAAATAAACAAACACACAAACTCTGTCTTTTTATAATAATATAGTATAGACTTAAAATATATCATTTATTGGTTGAAAATGAGACATTTATCGTTTTAATAATTAGAAAATAGAGAAAATTTAAATAATTTATGTTATCAGCGTACAGTGAAATCGTTTCGTTTTATTAAAGCCAAGCAATTCAATGTAACACAATAATGCGGCTAAATCGTCTTCATTTTGGCTTATCTTACTTAAATCGAGATCATTTCGTTTAAGCAATGGTATCATTATGATGTAGAAATGTAATCTCACTCCGAAACTAACTTCATTTCTTCACTCATGGAATCACTTTATAAATATAGCTTTTTTTAAAATTAATACTGTATCTATACATGTAATAAAATTGTAACTAAGCCGAATCTGTACATTAGATATTTTTTTGGAAAATCTTATTGAAATAAACATTATTATCGACACAGAGGCCGAATCTATAGTTTTTCGATTTTTTGTCTGTCTGTCTGTGTCTGTTACCGCATCACGGAAAAACAACTGAAGAGATTTTGGTGAAATTTGGTATGATGGTAGCTGGTTATCCGGGTCAACATATAGGATACTTTTTACCGCAGGAAAATATCTCATTTTTGAGAAAAAATACAAAAACTGCAATGTAAGAGTATACTAATATGTAAAACCTAAGAATTTGGTGTTTGATCATCTGAACGCTGACGGAGCCGCGGGCAATGCTACTCTACTTATATAATTTATGTTAAAGTCAAAAATAGTAGCGTGATTTGCTGTTTATATTGCTAATCTCGATTTTGCCATACAAATCGTTTACTTTTTTTAAAGATTAAGGGGAAATTTTATATATGTATTGATTACGTTGATATACAATTTTTGGAAAAAAAATATGAATAATAAAAATAAAACTATAGTTAAGTTTCTCGTCGACTTTTCTTAGCAGAACTGCCTTCCGAGCCGGTGGTAGATTCACCACGGACTTACATACTGACATTAAATTTAAAATGTAAAACTTACGGTTCAAAAATGCTTGTAATAAGTCTATTTGAATAAAGTTTATTTTCAGTGATTGTTTGATTAACATTTATTTACTTGTCACAAATTGTCACTTACATAACACATTATTGTCTGGCGTAAAAACTGCGAGAACATCAAGCAGAAAGTCCATAGCCGGAATCAAATCCTGCGTCGCCTAGTCACTTCTAAGTGGGGTGCCTCGCCTGATGTTTTGCGAACTACTGGGTTGGCCGTTTCCTTCGCTGCTGGTGAATATGCGTGCCCCGTGTGGTGCCGCTCTTCTCACGCAAAACTAGTGGATACAGCACTAAACGAAACGTGTCGTATTATTACTGGCTGTTTGAAACCGACTCCGACACCAATGCTGTACCCACTGGCAGGAATTGCGCCTCCAAAAGTGCGTAGAGCAGTGGTGAGCTCCATTGAAAGGACCAAAATGGATCAAGACACGCGACACCTCATGCACGACATCATCCTGGTGCCACAAAGGCTAAAAAGCCGTAAAAGTTTTATGAAGTGTGTCTTACCACTTGGAGATGAACGACCACAGGCAAGATGCAGGATGTGGCGGGACAGTTATGGTCCTTTGCCAAGCCCATTCGTTCCACCATCTGAGAATCTTGCGCCTGGACATAGTTTGCCTTGGCAGACCTGGAAGTCTCTCAACAGACTCCGGACTCAGGTTGGCCGAAGCAAGGAAAACTTATCCAGGTGGGGATTTTCAGCGGGCGGCCTGGATTGTAGATGTGGTACTGTTCCACAAACGATGAGGCACTTACTGGCATGCCCCGCTTGCCCTGTTACTTGCAACTTACAGGAGCTTATGGACGCCACTGACAAAGCAACGATCGTGGCTGAGTTTTGGGCTGACTCCATTTAAAACTTGCCATCGACACGAGAAGAAGAAGAAGATTGTCTGGCTTCATGTTCTATGACATTCTCAGATGTTCTGTCTTTATTATTCCTTAGTCTAATTTCATAACGTTCAAAAAGGTATTTCTAGGATCTATTCCAAATTAAAGAAGTAGCAAATACACTAACAAAATTTCGCATTTATAAGTACTGATACTGGCTGTCCTCCATTCGTCTCATTTACGTATTTATTTATTTAAAAACTAATATAAGAGACAACTGTTCGGTACTCTCTGCGAATATTAAACGTGGACTCATATATACCTAAGAAGATTCTTAGTTACCGCTGTAATATAAAAACAATAAATTCATGCAGACATTGCTATTGTTCATTTATATAATCAACTACGATTCTACCTCGCTTCGCTCGGGTTTATCCCTGACTTGCTTCCCAATACAAACTTTTATCCCCCCACTTAAGGATGGAATTAAATTTGGTAAGAAAATAGTTTGAGACCCTGGGAAGGACATAGGATAGTTTTTATCCCGGAAATCATCCCTTAAGGGTGTGAAAGTTTGTATGGGGAAGCAACCTAGGGACGAACCCGAGCGAAGCGAATGTGAGTCGCTAGTTAGTAATAAAATTTGCCAAAAAGCGCCGCTACCTAGTACGTAATATTAATTATTAATACAAAAGACACTTTGGGACGCACCCGAGCGAAGCGAGAATAAGTCGCTAGTGATAGTATATATCTATACCTTAATAAAAAGCAAATTAACATTTCTGACGTTAAGCATTCAATTCATTCCGTGGTAACTTTTAACACAAACGCTAAATTAAGGCAGCGTAATTAATACTACTCGGCTAATGAACTGAATTGATAAAGAGGAAGTTAAAATTCATATATTCTTCTAACATTATTCTCGGGCCCAAGATTTCTTAACACAAACGACTTTAAGGCAATATTTTCTCAATTAAAATCTGGCTTCCGAAATACGTAATAAGGAAAATCCGCCGCTTACACAATTTTATTTCATTGTTTTAAAAAAGACTACGAACTGGCGGTTAACGATCTCTGGCGTTTCAGCCCGAGGACGAGTAGGAATTTTTACCGAATTAATATAGTAAATAGCATTACCAATTTGGCTGGAATGTGTCCCATTGTCCCGTTTGCTTTATTTACAAATAGGTTTCTTGGTAAAATCTTTTTAGAATATTAGGGAGATAAAACTTGACATTTACTTATTTAAAATAATTAACATAATTATATAAATAATATAATAAATAAAATAATTAACATAATTATATAAATATTCATTTAACATACAAATAAGAATACGTATAAAGTATTTTATTTACTTTATTATTTATCTACAGAATTTTCTACCAATCAATCCAACTATGTAAGAAATAATGTTTGTAGGTGCAATAAGGAAATTTAACACTTAGCTTCCTGTAATTTAACTTAGATATAATATTATTAGTAAAACTACATTTACAAGTATAATAGTAATATTATACTACATATTGCATAATATGTGTATTGTGGAAGCACTAAACATACATATACCTGACTTGAATACAAGACAAGAAAGTACTAAATAACGTACATGCATGCTCATATATTATAATATATGAATTTAAAAATCTCTCTCTCTCTCTCTCTCTATCTATCTAGAAGCAATTTTTTTAAGATTTTATTTTGCTTACCAAGTGTTTATTTCGTTTTAAAATTGTGATATTTAGGGTGGCAGAAACATATGATTGTATGAACTTTTTAAATAATTTCGTCAAATTATAAAAATATGTACTGTAATTTTATATTTCAGAACTGACTAATGAAAATGACGTCAATAACTTACAGAGCTGTGATAGTGCAGCGTGCAACCAGTTATGCCAACTATTTGGTTTTAGAGGAGGTATATGTTCCGAAAATAACTGCAATTGTTTTAGTTACCTTCAAAATGGTAAGCTATAAATATTTTAGCTAAGCGTTTTCTCAAAATTCAAAAGAAAGATATTTTCTAATATATGAATTTAGAAATCTCTCTCTCTTTCTCTCTCTCTCTCTCTCTCTCTCTCTCTCTCTCTCTCTCTCTCTCTATCCACCTAGAAGCAATTTTTTTTAAGATTTTATTTTGCTTACCAAGTGTTTATTTCGTTTTAAAATTGTGATATTTAGGGTGGCAGAAACATATGATTGTTTGAACTTTTTAAATAATTTCGTCAAATTATATAAATATGTACTGTAATTTTATATTTCAGAACTGACTAATGAAAATGACGTCAATAACTTAAAGAGCTGTGATAGTGCAGCATGCAACCAGTTATGCCAACTACTTGGTTTTAGAGGAGGTATATGTTCCGAAAATAACTGCAATTGTCTTAGTTACCTTCAAAATGGTAAGCTATAAATATTTTAGCTAAGCGTTTTATTAAAAGTGTGCCTATTGTTCTGATATATCTTTTGTAGAAATAACATTAGAGAATGATTTGGATATTTGTAACCTGCGAAAATGCGATGAACAGTGTCGTCATATTGGTTTCAAAGGCGGCTATTGTTTCGCAAGTCGCTGTGAATGCATAATCTTTAGCGAAGGCGATGTTAGTACTAATTAGTACTGATAATGTAGAAAAAAATATATATTAAAGGAATATACTGACTGTCTTTTGATTAAAATATATTTCAGTGCTTTATGAGGGCATAATTTTAAGCTAAAGTAAAGAATTAACCTGACTGAAAAGATCTCATCAGTGTTTTTATTTATAAAATAATATGTACATTTCAATTACTAACTACCTTGATGGTGTAGTGGCTAGCATGTACGGCTGTACATCCAGAGGTCCTGGGTTCGAGTCCCGGGTCGGGCCAATTTAGTTATTGAGTCTTTCTGTATAGTAAGTCTCAGTAACAGTCCGGGGTTAGGAAATTGAATGTGTTTCAGCCCCATGCCACGGAGAGCACGTAAAGCCGTCGGTCCTGCGGGTTAACTCTCACTGGTCGTGTTAAGTAGTCGTCCCACCAGAATACAAGAGTGGCAAGAATAGAGAGTGCACTTGTGTCTATGCGCACACTCGTGTACTATAATATCTCCTACGCAGTTGGCTAGTCTCAAAGAGATTGGCCGCGGTGGCCGAAATCATTCGGGAGGATATTTTTACTATAATTACAGTTCAATTAATAATTTATATTGTTACTATGGCAAACAGTAGAGAGCTAACAGTTATTCAATTTTATCTATAAACAAACTCACTTCTACTATTTCTTTACTTATTATGTATGAATATTTAAAAAATAATATTATTAGCCAATAACTAATTCATACAGATTTCACACATATTTTACAAAAAATTAGAGAGAAACTGGACGGTCTACACGTGAGGACAAAAGTATTTTTTGCGCCATAATTTTTATACAAATGTAATATTTAACTAGATATAATTTTAAAATACATATTATACCTTAAACTCACTAAGACTTTATATTATTTATTTGGTCTTATATATTACAGGAATAGGGGGAAAAAATATAAATGAAATAAACAGTTGTGATAACGGAGAATGCGACCAACTTTGCCGTCGTCTCGGATTTAAGCTAAGCGGAGTGTGCAACGGAAGCCGCTGCCGGTGCAGAATAGCACTCGAAGACGATGGTATGTTTAATTAGAATAAAAGTTATTTAATTATTCAATGACTTCACAAAGTCTATTGATAATTTTATTATAGAATAATGACCTAGATTGCGTCCCTAAGTGCAAAACAGTAGCCTAAGTGTTAGTCCATGTTATGATATCTGTGTACTATATTTCACTTAAAACCATCCAGGCGTTTTTACGTGAAAGTGTAAAAACATACACACATACAAAGTTTTACATTTTTTCGATTACAACATTGCACACTAAACCAATACCTTGCAGTAGTTTAATTTTCGATATGATAACGAATTTAATAAGACTTAGCACGATTTTAGAGACCCTATTTACATTCGTAAAATTTGACGACACGTTTGGCTCAGTTTATAGTGACCCTATTTGCTGCAGCAGGTCGCGGATTCGAGTCCCGACGTGAGCATTCATTTGTGTGATGAGCACGAATGTTTGTATTCCAGTCATGGGTGTTCATATTTATAATGTATATGTATTTAAAGTTATATAAGTGTAGTGTATCAACTGTCTGATATTCATAATACAAGACTCATAGCACCATGGAACTAAATGGTGCTGTATTTAGATGTACTAACATATAAATATATAATTAACACTTTTCAAATTGTGAACTAGACTACAGCAAAAGAATACACATTCCACATTGTGTATGAATATTGATTTAAACAACACTTTCACCATGAAACATAACAAGTAAAAACAGAAACACAAAATATTACTAAGGATTTTATGTTAAAAAATATATAACATAAATAAAATGTAAGCTATTTTGATCGAGTCGTAATACTTCCACTAGCGGAGGTAGAGGCGAAAACTTTTCCAGAGTTTTATGACAAATATATTCGTCAATTTCCTTCAGGAATTACACTAAACTAGATTAATATAATACCATATTGTTAGTTGATACAATGTAGGTGACATGATGAATGGTAATATTTAAAGTAATTATAGGAACACCTGTAATAATTTCAATTCTGAAACTAAAATTTGTTGCTTGCTTTACCTGTGCTTATTTTAAATTTTCCGACTTCTGAACAAACCTAAAACTATATTATTAAGGTTTTCATATTATTTATTACTAAAATTATAACTTTTCCACTATGAAATAATTTTTGTTGCCATATACAATCCGGCATATTAAGAGGTAATAAGAAACAAGAAAAACTAAGCTCAACTCACTAATCGCCATGACATGACCTTAATAATTTTTAAATTTCTTTACAACATTTTAACAGAATTCATATAATTATATAATTTTTTTTTAGATGAATTAATTGTCACTGAGAAAGACAATAAAAATGATATCCCCGCAAATAATGAAATTAATGAATGCAATGTTAATTCATGTAAAATATCGTGCCATGTTCGTGGATACAAGGGAGGCAATTGCTTTGGTAACCATTGTAAATGTTATGCTAAAGGTAACTATTTTATATAAAATATTATAATTAATATACATGTGACTACCTCTTTTTTAACTTTGGGAAATAGATTTTCCTTTGCCATACATGCAAACATACATGTCAGGACTCACCGAACTAGAACAGCCAGTACGCAACACACAAACCCAACAGAACCAATCTGTCTAATAACTATAACTAATCTGTCTGGGCTAACTATACTAGAGTATACTAAGTCATTTTTTAGCTGTCTTTAAAAAGCTTGTAACTCGATTGTATTGTTTTGTATGCTATATTTTAGCCAATTATGAATCAATTTTCATAATTCTATTTGTAAAATTATAGGCTATACATAGGTATATATACCACAATAGTGGTCCGAGATTAAAAAAAAAATTTTTTTTTAGTTAAAAAGTAATTGTAATATTTCAAATTCGCAAGGTTAAGGAGCAAGGAGCATTGCGTACACAAATCTTATTATATAAATTATAATATTGCACTTTAGGAACTTTTTTATTATATTATTATGAAGTATTCATTAGGTACTGGGAATGAGATATGTTTCCGCCTTAAAATGATTTCAACTCTACAAGTTATGGTCCGTCCACGCAATAAGACTTAGTACAGACAATACATACAAAAATGTAACATAGCAGTGCAGACACATGTCGGTGTATTGGAAAAGTCGGAGATATGCAAAAAACTGAAAAAAATAAAAGTTAGAGGTAATAAAAAGTCCGCACAAATATTTTGTCGACTTAAACTCGTATGCGTGTACTTTTGCAGTCTGTAGGTGTCTTACGATAAAAGTTTGTACCGAGTCTATATCGTGTGGATGCACAGGTGATAACTCCATCCAAAAAATCACATCAATCCTTCAATTCGCAATTTTAAATAATTGATTGTGCTTGAATAAATTCATAGTTCCTTTATTTATTCGCAGAAGACGACACAAAATCACTTAAAACCTGTAATAATGTTACGTGTTACTTTATATGTCGGAGCCTAAACTATATCAGTGGAATCTGCCGTTCTGGAGCTTGTTTTTGCATTTAAATTAAACTATATACCTACACAGATGTTTTTTTTAATAATTAATATTGAATTAAAACAACATTTTTAATAATTATTGTAATATTATAAGAAAAAAAATAACAATTTTAAATAATAAAATACATGATTAATGTTATGTTATTTAATTTACCAAAAGTGTACATTTAATATTATGAAAAAAAATGTGTTTGAGGGATATTTTGAATACAATAAAAGCTTGATCTATTTAGTCTATAGACTTTCTAGTCTTTTTATTTCTATCTGTAGGCTTACCTTTGTCTTATCGCTTATGTATACTAATATTATTATAAAGAGGTAAAGTTTGTGATATTATGAGTTTGTGACGTTGTAGGGGGCAATCTATGGATCTACTGAACCGATTTACATGTTTGGTCAGAAGATAGTTTGAGACCTTAGAAAGGATATAGGATACTTTTTATTCCGGAAATCATTCTTTAAGGGAGTGAAAATGGGGATGAAAGTTTGTACGGGGAATCAAGCTAGGGACGAACCCGAGCGAAGCGAGGGTGAGTTGCTAGTAATTCATAAACAGCTGGATCGTATACGAATATTAGTAAATAAATTCATGTAATACAGTCAAACTAGTCCATTAAAAACATAGACAAGTTTCGTTTAATACTTTGTTTGACTGCGTTTTTGATTAATATATAATTGATTTTATTATGCACTTAAAGGTATGTTAAAACGGAGTTTATGGTCATATAATAAGCCAAAAAACATTTTGTTTCCTCTACAAGCACTTTTTTAACTAGCATTATTAGATGGACTAAAATCTTTCACTTCGAAAAAAAACATCAAATTCAAGTAAATATTTAACCTAGAAAACTAATAAAAGACAGAAGAGAAAGAAAGTTCTTAATGAATAAAGATATATATAAAATTATATAAATCGGAAATATTAATTAAATAATAATAAAAAAATTAAATAAATAATTTTGTACGGGCAAACAAACATACACACGTGCATACACTCTATTTCCAAACAAACACGACATTCTTTAAAACAATCACAATATTATTTTTTAAATAGATAACATCCAATAGCCATAAAGTTTAATGTGTTTTTTTTTTCAGAATCTGGTAAACTGAATGCTTTAGGAACATGTGATGATATTGCCTGCAATATAATTTGTGCAGAAAATAATTACGTCGGTGGGTTCTGCCAAGAAGATAACTGCTATTGTTTTTAATTTTTTATCTATGCATTAGAAATATTACTCAACAATCAGCACCTACTCGACTTTAACATTACTCATACATTAAATTAATATAAATGTGTTTGATGTTTCTTTAATTACCCTGCATTCTTAGCTTCTAAGCAAGAAAAATCATAAACCTTTTTAGACCATTTCATAGTATGATAGTACTAAGGGGATTTATTTCTATTCAGTTTCATTTTCGAAGTAAAAAAATCGCGTACCTTTATCGAGTAACTAGTAGTTTTTGTGCAATTATAAAACAAAGATGGCACTGTTAATATTAAGCCTGGGAGCCCCCCAGACATATATTGTCGCTAGTTATTGTCAGCTTGCTACGACGACGTACAAACACAGTCCACCCGAACTCATGTTATTACATAAAACTTAATACTTTTACACTTCACATTGATGACTTAGATATTTACAGTAAAAGTGTGGCTGAGAATGAAAAAAACTGACTTCGTTCAATATTAACAGTGAACGTCCGGTGTAAATGACCCTCAGTCGAGGGATCCTGTAATTTTCTATTTACGACCCATAAACGCTTTCATTTCTAGCCACTTGGTATTGGAAACGCGAAGTTATATCGGCTGTTTGGTGTAATCTACCGCTTCAGAAGGAATAACCAATAGAAGACAATATGCAGTGGTTTGGCCTTATTTCAACTGTTCAATACGCTCCAAATGCTTTACTAAACAATGTAGGCTCAAAACACATAAAATTATAAATTTAATTTTCGTTTTAATTATCCATACTAAAATTATAAATGTGAGAGTGTGTTTGTTTGTTTTTTTGTTTGTTTGTCCTTCTTTAACGTTCGTTGAGGGCATGGGAGTGACATAGGCGACTTTTTACCGCGGGAGATTATCTCATTCTCACGGTAAAACACGGTATAATACAACCCAAAAAATTATTTATGATCAGAATGAGTTGAAACTTTGTGTTAATGCTCTTCAATACAAATAAGTAAATATGCGTTTTAGCATTTCATCCCATAAGGGGATGAATCATGAAAGTTTCTATGAAACCTACCTTTACAGAAAGAGTTTTTTTGCAGTTTTAGAGCGAAGCCGCGGGTTCTGCTAGTACATCCTAAAAATACTTTTTTCAGATTATATGTATTTTAATATTATATTTAGTTTAAAGACAACCTGTTACTAGTATGTAGTACAATAAAATAAGTAAATTATTATATCAATCATCGATATTAGAATAATAAGAAAAATAATTAAAACTAAATAACATATTTTTAATCACTCCATCTGATTGTTAGTTTAATATTTGAAGAGTCAAAGTTATTAAAAGAGTCTCAAATCAAACTACGTCAAACGAAATCGTCTCATATAAGAAAGCCGTGCCACGCGTACGTGACTCATATTAATTTAACAAAGTTTTAATTAGCGGCCCGAATTCAAACCTACTTACAACTAAGTTAATTAACTAACTTGAAGAACTAACCTTAGGGGTGGAATAAGACCGTGGCCAAATTATAATAATCTATAAGTGTTCCGCGATTTAATCTATAAGTTTCGAACTTTCGATATTCTTACTACAAAACTGTAAATATTGCTTTTGTTTGTAATTTAAATTCTTTCCTCTAGTCGTTTGAATAGTAAGTATTATCTATACAGATAAATAAAATTGAAGTGTCTGTTTGTAATGTCAAAATAACAGGTTTTTACTAAATGCATATACACGGTACATATACCAAAACAAAATTTTTTACAATTTTTGTTTGTCCGGCTGTCTGTTTGTTCCGGCTAATCTCTGAAATCGCTGGACCGATTTTGACGGGACTTTCACTGGCAGATAGCTGATGTAATAAGGAGTTCGGCTACTTTTATTTTAGAAAAAAAAATAGGTTCCCACGAAAAAAATTAAAACCAATGAAAAATTTAATAATAATCATCATATTATAATGTTAAGAAAGAAGTTGGTTCTATTATAAATCTAAAAAATGCTTTAAAGTTAACTTTTAGATATCTCTTATTACCAAAATTCAATAACTGACCGTTGTGTTCCTTTATCGGCATGCGCTGGCCGCTGCCTAAGCAGTTTGAAATAAAACAATAAAAAAAAATATATCTATGTAAAAAAAGACAGTAAGTAACGCACCCGAGCAGAAGCGAGGGGATTTCGCTAGTTCTATAATAAAATGTTAAAAATAAAGAAAGATAAAATAATAAAATGATAAAAAATAAAGAAGGAGATATCTTCGAAAATTGTAAATTAATTTTTTTTGATATGGTTATACTTAAAAACACCCTTAACAATAAAATAATTACAGTTAGTATAAAATAGCAACGAACTCAGGTGCCAGAGCTTTATTCTGCCTCTTAAGGGTACCTATCTGATATGTTTTAGCATGAGTTCATCCGATATTTATTTGTTCCAATGATTTAATATGCCCTCTGTAACATAAACATAAGCCATTCAAGTGCGTGTTACCGTCAAACTATATAATATTATTTCACATACTATATGCTTCAAATAGTAAGATATTGATTTAGAAACACTGTAAAATCCTTTCAAGAATGATTTAACACTTCATACCATAAATTTCCGCTTACAAATAACAGCACAATTACCTATTTATCGAAATTTAATTAAGTACTTCCGGTGCTACCTCATTCGATTAATAAAAGAATCGCTGCGAAGTTGGACAGTTTGGCAGTTGTCGGACGCGGTAATGATGGCTCTCAATAAATTTCACTTCGGCTTATTGATCTTACGAAGTTACAAGAGTTACATGCCCAAACGGAAATGTTTCTTTAGGGAAAATCAAATGTTGTAAATGAAATAGGTTTTATATAGATTTACTAGCATTGCCCGCGGCTCCGCCCGCGTTCAGATGACCTAAAACCAAATTCTTAGGTTTTACATATTAGTAAACTCTTACATTGCAGTTTTTGTATTTTTCTCAGAAATGAGACATTTTCCCGCGGTAAAAAGTATCCTATATGTTGACCCGGATGACCAGCTATCATTATACCAAATTTCATCAAAATCTGTCCAGTGGTTTTCTCGTGATGCGGTAACAGACAGACAGATAAAAATTCTAAAAACTATAGATTCGGCCTCTGTATCGATAATAAAGTCTATTTTAATAAGATTTTCCAAAAAATATTCAATGTACAGATTCGGCTTGGTTAGAATTTTATTATATGTATAGATAATTGTTTTCTATCAATATAAAATGACTTATTTCAACAGCTAATTTGAAAGACCAAATCACTGAACTTGAAGAGAACTAAATATTGAGCGTATTTGTTGGTAGCTGTTAAATAAAGATTATTCGAAAATAATTGGTTAAAGGGACGGAATAGACGAAGGAACAGGTTTTAGATAAAAAACAATATTATTCGTATAATAAATAACTAAAGTCAGATAAGTACTAATTCGGGTCGCGTACAGAAGGCTTCGTAGCATCAAATATTTTTATTTTATGATTTAACTTATGTAATTTAGTAGGTCAAAAGTAAAATATAATATTACCCGTCTGCAACATTCATTGATAGCAATAAAAAGTTGTATTTCTGAGAAAAACATACTGAATTATGTGGCCGATAAACTAACAACTACTCAACATATCTTGACTAAAATATTTTTTGTTCAAAGTATTTCAAAACCTACTCGTATATAATAATATCAAATTGTTATCTTATTTTTAAAAAAACACGTTTATTTTGTAAATCCTATTGATTTATTAAGACCTATTTTAAAATATCCCACAAACTTTTTTTTTTCAACTCTCAATTAAGAGTACATGGAATGAAACATAAAAAAAAGCTCCTTAAGTACATACATAGTGCTTCCAGAATGCTGAATAGAAAAGAAAGGGGTGTGTAGAAATTATAGCGCTTACACTATTTTCTCCGATTCCCACACAGGATATAACAAGGAATTATATGTGTATACAATAATATGATGATGTTCTCCTAGCCGATTCCGGCTACGGCGGCCAATCTCATTGAGATTAGCCAACTGCGCAGGAGATATTATAGTGCACAAGTGTACGCGCAGACACAAGTGCACTCCCTATTACTATCACTCTCATACTCCAGTGGGACGACCACTCGACACGCCCGGTGAGAGTTAAGGCGCAGGACCGACGGCTTTACGTGCTCTCCGAGGCATGGGGGTGAAACACCGCCAACTTCCCAACTTGGGCTGTTACTGAGACTTACTATACAGAAAGACTCAATAACTAAACTTGGCCCGACCCGGGCCTCGAACCCAGGACCTCCGGGTATGCAGCCCTACATGCTAGCCACTACACCACCAAGGCAGTTAAACAATAATATATAGATTATATATAGCTATGCTCATAAAATACTCCAGTTTTGTTTTCTTCCACTAAGATATAGTGATAGTATACACATCATGTAAAGAACATTAACGATATGCTAAAAGATTAACTATACGAGATTATATTCCATGAAGATAAGGTTACAGAGATCCAAGAGCAACAATTCTATCAAAATAAATAAATAAATACAAAATAACATCGATCCGTTGCCAAGTTACATAAAGGAAATACAGACCAGCAACCAACAAACACACTTTCGCATTAATAAATATTAATGAAAATATAAAACAATCTTTAGAAATTATCGTATTATATTTACAATATTGAAGAAATTTGAATTGCTAAAAACCAGTGGCGAAATTTCTAATTAACAATGAATGGTCAATCAAATATTTGTTGAGAAAACAGTTCTTCGAACAAGACTTATTAAAATCCGTAACTTAATTTACAAGACCGCCAAGAAAAAATATTCTTTAAGAGCTTTGAATACTTTTCTTTATTCAGTTAACTAAGTTATCAACTTAATAAATACAATAAACATTAACAAAAAGCTTTTTATATGAAATATGTTTAGAGAAAAGCCTCAATGTAATTTAAATGGAATATTATAATTAAGACTGCTTCATTAACGCTGCCATTCGATTTGAGGACAGAGCATGGTACTTATTAGAGTCAATCT